AACATCAAACATCCTGTCATACTTCCTTCTCGACATAAATTTAGCGAATTACTAGTGAAAGAACTTCTATTAACTTACCTTCATGCTGGTCCTTCTTTATTATCACCACCTCATCAGGCAATCTTACTGGATAATTGGAGGGAAGAGACTGATACGCAGTTGTGTCAACCATTGCTTTATATGTCATCGATTTAAAGCTGCTTCAACTCCGCAATTGATAAGTGACTTACCTGAACATCGTGTGACTTTGGAACGACCTTTTTACGCATCTGGTGTGGATTACGCTGGTCCTATTACCATGAAATTTAATAAGGGTCGTGGTTCTAAAACAACGAAAGGCTATATAGCTCTGTTTGTTCCCTTGTCGACTAAAGCTGTGCATACAGAAGCAGTCAGTGACCTGATGGCAGACTCGTTTATCGCGGCACTTAGACGTTTCATTTCACTTCGCGGTGCACCCCGGCACATTTACAGTGACAACGGTAGTGTATCAGGTATAAACCTGATAGGGTGGGAGTATGTTCACTTCCACGCCTATCGAATTAATTTCTACCTTTTCGTTGCCCTGCGTTGCCAATACGCTTTTGAGATTTGTCGTTCATAGAATTCGGTCGCTAAAAGCGTAGCTGGCCTGTAACGGTTGTAATTCCTATTTTATGCTTATCTGTACTCCTGAATTATTACTAAATGTTTACGTGTGAATGTTATATTATTAAATGTATTGAGTTTAATTTAAATAGACTAAGAGTCGTTGAATTTATTAAGTATATTTAAAGCCGAAACTGTGTCATCCATGTCGGCGCCATTCTAATACGAGGAACGTAAACAATATTTTTTTAAATTAATTTATTTTTAAAATTATTAATTTTAAATTATTTTTTTTTAAATTAATTTTCTTTTTCGTGGGTTCTTTTCTGCATATCAATTCTTATATTTGCTCCCATTGCCTTAATACGTATTCGTTTTGAATCCTCTCCTTTAACTGTAAAAATGTTCTACCGCAAGATTACTCTGTATGCAGAAAAGCCCCTTTTACACCCAATACGGTGCTGCTTTTAGAGTTTTTGGAATTTAACTCGGCTTTCGTATACTGTAGTACTATTAATACTTTATTTATATAATTGTCAACTGTTTTACCACGTTTTTGGGGTAATGTATCTTTTATTTTATTTATTTTTAACGTTTATTTTGATAATTCTCATTATTAATGACAATGTTTTTATTGGATGATAACTGTTTTTGAATATATATCTCAACGTCTATGGCAGATTCACACCGTCGTTCCCCACTTTCGGTACCCAAGATCACATGCGCTGTTTTTGATAGGTAAGGCTTGGAATTATTGTCATTGCCAGATATTTCTGGTTCTAAGTGTGAATTGTCTGAGTTGAACTTGGAGCCATGGGTAATCTTGGAGAATATAGACAATTGTCTTACCGCGGAGTCATATGGTAAATTGGTCACTGATTTGTCATTTCCTGACTCGGTGCATACATCGACTTCTGCACAATCTACCATTTTCATTCCCCTTCAGTCTCCCTTAGACGCCACTGTTAACAGGCATCTACAGTTTGAAACTCCAGATCTTCAACTCCCTCAACGGCATTTTGAATCGCAACTCAACAATTCTGTTGTGGATTCTGGACCCCATGACAAGGGACTTGGGCGTGCACATGCTTCCATTAATGATATCTTTGCACATTTAGAGCGTCAAAAAGGTAAACATAAACTATCTTCGGCAGACTTACGTATTCTTTCGGGCCATTTATCAGACATTCGTTCAGTGTTGCTGGAGCAGGAGTCCCACCAACTGGTGGCTGATTTTTCACAAGGCATAATTTCTCAAATTGTCTCGGAGATACGGGGATTACATGCTGAATTGTCCACAATCCGAGCACATATTAGCTCAATCCGCTCTTCCACAGATTTAGTGCCACAGTTTATTACTATTGGCACACAGACAGAAGAATTACTCTTCACTTCCACACATTCTATTCCGCCTTTGCGGCGCAAGAATATTCCTTCAATAGTTGATTCTCCAGAGGATTTTTCCCAAGTTTTCACTTCCCCTACAGTGTCTTCTGTTTTTTCCTCTTCAACATCTTTTACTTCTTTTGTTTATTCTACTACAAACACTACATTTATAAATCTTACCTCACAGACATCTGTCGTTTCTACTCTTTCAAAAAGACCATCTGTATGCCCTTTACAGACCTCTTCTCAGAGTATTACATCTTTGATTTCGGAAACAGTGGATGGGCCTCCGGATGACCTCACTTTTTTATCTGAGCAATTAATACCACCTGTGCATAAGATCTCACATCAAGATACTCTTTCCACTGCATATACTAAATCACAAACGTTTACTCGTTCTAATTTCTCTACCAATTTTTCTGCGGTTTCATTTTCAGAAGAGCCGGTATTGATTTTGTCCACCAAAGAGCGTACTTCCCCACAAGACTTGCGACAGCTTTTAATTTGTACTTTGGGACGTGACCAATTAATTTTCAACTGCACACAGATATGATCCACTCAAAACGGCAAGCTCTTGGTTCGTTGCCCTGATATTTCACAGATAGAACGCCTCAAAAAATATCTTTCCAATCATTCTCTTCTTTCTGAATCGTGCAGTTTCGTTTCCCTCGCCCACGGACCTCATCGTTGGTCCTTTATGGAGTTCCGACGGACATTGAGCAGCAAGATTTAATTGATTTAATCATTAGTAAATTTCCACAACTCTCTACACAAGATTTAACATTGAAAATATTGTCTAAACGTACAGATAACACCAGTACTTGGCAAATTGTTTCTCCGGTTCCTACATCAAAATTTTTGCTTTCTCAGAAATTTTTCAATATTGCCTTCAGCTCTTGTGAGTTTCGCCCATTTGTGCGCCTCACTAGATGCTTTAATTGTAACTCTTTTGGACATGTCAAGGCTCGTTGTACAGCTCCAATTTGCTGCAGTCGTTGGGCTGATTCTCATTCCCCTAAAGGATGTACACTACCATTTAAATGTGTAAATTGTCTTAAATCTAATAAAACATCACATACCACTTTTGATTTGCACCACTCGGCAGTCTCGTCCACTTGTCCCTTTTACAGATCTTTATTGCGAGGACAAATTGATTCTAAATAACAATCATGGTTCATACTTCTGCAAAGCAATTGAATCTTGATTTGACTACTATGTTTACTGTTGATGATCCTCTGTTTTTACAAATTAATTTGCAGAGATCCTCTGCGTCGACTGGTCACTTCTTTGCAGCATTTCTGGAACAGGGTGCACATCTAGCATTTATACAAGAATACTATTCGAATTCTAATACCAATACAATTGTGGGTCTCCCCAATGCCCTCACAGCTTTTCAATCTTCAACTAATCTTGCTGCTATTGTTTTTTCATCCACTCTTCCTCTGCGTCTTTTCTATTCTACCCCTCACACTGTCACAGTTGCAATGTTCACTTCTAGCTTTACTTATCTTTTCTCTTCACTTTATTTTCCTCCTTCTTTGGACATAGAGGACATTCTTGTGGAGTTGGATGAACTCTTTTCACACTCTCCTCCTTCTGCATTTCACCTCTTAGCGGGCGATTTTAATTCTTCCAGTGAACTTTGGGGCGCCCTACACAATTACTTGCGTAGTTTTAAGATACTCTATTTTTTTGCCCAACATGCATTAATCCTTGTTAATGATCCTGACTCCCCACCCACCTTCAGGACTCCTCGTTCAGAGGGTTGGATCGACCTAACAGTCTGTAGCTCTTCGTGGTTTTCACTACTGCAGGATTGGCGGGTATGTACGGAGTTGGTGAGTCTTAGTGATTATCAAATTATTTCTTTTCGCTTACATGCACACTTTTCGTTCAATTCAGTTAAACGTTTTCGAACTCTTGGTGTTGACATAGCTCCATTTATACAGCAGTTAACTCCTCATGTTCCAGAGCTGATGCGGGGATTTGATCAGTATGAGACGGCAGGGGACTTTGACTCACATTATGACGACTTCCATAAACAACTACTTCAAATCTGTACAAAGTGCTTTAAATTTAAAAGACCACGTGAATTTCAACAGGCGCCTTGGTGGACGTCAGAATTAAACCAAAATCGTTCACGGCTTCACACATTGCGTCGTAAGGCACAGACATGTACTGACCCTGTCTGTCGACGTGTATTGTTTATTCAATATAAACAGGCATAGGCAAGGTATAAGCGCGTAATTGAAGGCAAAATCTCACTCATGGAAATTACAGTGTAACAACATCACAGAATCCTTTGGACTGATCTATAAGATTGCTTTTGACAAGGTATTTCGCCCAACCCGTTTGCCCTTACGGTTGGTACCTGAAACATGTACCTTAAATAATTTTTATCAAACAGTTCTGAATAATATCTTCCATTCTGATGATTTAACAACAGACTTACCTCACCATGCTGCGCTTCGCATTGCATTTGGCACTTTTGATGGAAATGGAGGCTGCAGTGATTTTCAACCGCCGATAACATACGAGCTTGGACATATTGTTCGACATCTAAATTCATGAAAGGCCCCTGGCCCCGATTTAATAGACAATAACATAATCAAAATTCTCTTTACACATTTTCCAAATTTGATCCACTCTTTTATCAATGCTTGTTGGAAATTACAATACTTACCATCTGGTTCCAAATTAGCAGAAGTTGTTTTATTTTTGAAAACCGGTAAAAACATTAACATGTTTCTTCTTATAGGCCAATTTGCCTTTTGCCTGCTTTTGGTAAGCTGTTGGAGCGCACGATTTTACTACGCTTAAATTACTTTTTACGGACTACACAAAGTTTGCATGCTTCGCAGTACGGTTTTAGACGTGGCCTATCCACTGAGCATGCCTTGCATCGATTGATTACAATTCTTGAGACTAATCGCAGTAACGACTTACATTCCATTGTCATCTCGCTGGACATCCAGGGCGCATTTGATGCGCTCTGGTGGCCCGATGTATTACAGGCATTTACAGATATGGGTTGTCCACAGTACATTTTGAATTTCATTAAAAGCTATTTGACGAATCGACGAGTTCAGATTAGTACTGAACATGGAACAGTGTCACAATCAGTTGACCGAGGGTGCCCACAGGGCTCTTGTTTTGGTTCGTTATTTTGGATAACAGTGGCAAATTCGTTATTTCCACTGTTTGATCACCTAGAAAATTTATGGATCATCGCATATGCAGATGATTTTCTTTTAATTGCAGCAGGCCGCTCGAATGTAACCCACCGCGCACAATTGGGCCTAGATATTTTTGTAAATTGGGCACAACAACATAAGATCACTCTCTCTCCCGGCAAAACACAAGCATTAGCTATAGGTCGGCGTTCCGTCCTTAGACGGAACCCTACACTAAAACTTTTCAATGAGAGTATCCATTTTGTCTCTCAGTTTAAATTTCTGGGAGTCATATTTGATAACAAATTATCCTGGCTCCCACATTTCAAATACTTACATATTCGAAACCGCATTCTTCTTAATTCTTTTTTGGAAATATCTGGTTCTTCAAATTGGGGTGTACCACCACATTTTTTAAAACTTTGGTACAAAGTGGTCACCGAGCGGATTTTTCTCTATGCGTCATCCATTTGGGGCGCTCACTTAACCAGACAGAAGCGTCGAATTCTCAAGCAACTACAGCGACCTTGTTTACTTTCCATCACTAAATCCTATCGAACCGCTTCTACATTGGCGCTTCAAACACTAGCAGAAACGCCTCCACTGGATTTGCTGGTGGAGAGAGAGGTTTTACTTACACGAGTATTACGGTTGGGATTCGATTTTTCTCTATGGGGTCAAAATTATCGGTCAATTCAATTTGTGCAACGACCAGATAGAGATCTTTGGGCGCCTTCGGAGTTTGATGTGCCTAAACGAATTACGTTGGACAACACTGTTGTTCCACAGGCACGGTACGCCATTTTTACTGATGGCTCTAAGTTCGAGACTGGGGTCGGTAGTGCCTTGTGTGTATTACAAAACGGAAATGTCCAATTTACTTGGCAGTGTGGCTTACACGTTCAAAGTTCGGTTTATCAGGCTGAATTAATTGCACTGCGTAAGGCAGTTCGTCTTTCTAAATTGCTTCTTGGTCCCATTGTGATCTTTACTGATTCGGCATCTAGTCTTCAGTCTTTACTTAGAATTATTCCATTGGACCCCTTAGTTCAAGATATCCAAAATTTACTACAAGCCCTTTCGCCGGCTGATCGCACTTGGCTTACCTGGGTTCCGGCACATGTTGGAATCCGGGGGAATGAGTTGGCTGATGAGTTGGCGAAAGTTGCAGCTTTGTCAGTTTCTTTACCAAAAATGAATCTGCCACTGCCGGTCTCGAGTTTGAAGCGGGACACATGGACTGCATTAATGAATCAATGGCAAATGCGTTGGGACGGTGAGGTGGTCGGCCGTCGTACTTTTGCTTTTATTCCTAAAGTCTCTACTGCTCTGCTTGGTTCTTCTGCTTATCGAACATGGTTCCTTACTGGCCATGGTCCTTTTCCTTCTTTTCTTCATCGCTTTAATTTACGCTTTTCCAATCTTTTCCCCTGTGGGTCGCTTGGCGATCCAGACCATTATGCTTTTCACTGTCCTTTCACTTCTTCTTTCCATCTTCACCCACCGTCCAGAGGTAATATTTCACATATAATTGAAATACTATCACACAATGATCATGCTCTGCATAGACTATATAATACAATGCAATTTTGTGCCGAATATTTTAATTGAATAACGTATCATGTGGTTTTATCACCAGATTTTTCTGATCTCTGAACTGTTAACATTAGCTTTGTGTTTTGAGATACTGCAGTTCTTGCACGGCATAATCTTATGTAATCTTTTAGTATACTTGTATAATTTCTTTATTTAATTTTCTAATTTACTCAATTTTGTACTCATTGTTATTGATAGTTGAGTGAGGTGTGTTGCGGATTTGTGAAAAACTTTTATTCACTTCTGTGAACTGTGAACTATATCAATGATATTCATCATACATGATTCTGTAGAACTTATTACGCTGTTGTTTTACGTTCTGCTATTGATTGATACTGCTGGCCACCATTGATAATATCATGTGCAATGACTTGTCTCATGAATACACTTTCCAGTAACAGTTTTTTCCACGGATTCAAGTACTTTTATTCTGATACTGATGTTGCACCATGCGCCAGCAGAATATACTTTACGTAACATTAATCTCCTTGCTTTTTCATCAGAGTATCTAACTTAAGGAGAACAACGTGCGTGAGTAATGGTGATTCATCGATGAACATTTTAACTCCAACAAATGCATTACTATAATGGCGTTTCATATCTCTATTTGTTTGCATATTGCATTTGGGAGCTGTGTCATGATACAGATACTGTTGTAGTGAATGTGCTCTTAATGTAAACCCAGTATATTTTCTACGGCATCATTCATAGTTACACTGCTTCCTACCTCAGATGACAGTTAAATTTCATCTTTCAGTATTTTACAATAATGTGCGTTGTGACTTTCAAAGCATAGTATGTGCAGTGCCAAATGTGCTATTTTTTTCTCGTAAGTGTTCCTTAAGGACACACTTCATTTTTTTTACCAAACTATGCCTTATGACTATTCATTTCATGGCTGGTGCACTGCCATGAGTGAAATTGTTTCATCGTAAGTGTTCTGCACATGTCTTATCATTCATTATTACATCTAGATGGAGGATGATACCTGTGACTACATCGTGTGTGTTGTGGATACAGACTTGTGTATTTCTTTTGGCCTCATCCTCCAGCACAACACCAGACCATATGGTGAACAAGTGGAATCCTAAACTAATGGTGCCACGGTAAAACATTATTCTCTACTTGAGCTATCGGCAAATTTGTGTTTATGTGAACATTTCAAAACTGTTTCGGAGACGCAATAACATTATAAACACTCCTAATATATTGGCTTGATTTAGAAAAAGGCACCTGCCTTACAAACTCTCGTAGTGGAGGTTGATTAATGTAGTTTCCACTTTGTTGTATTTCTTAATGTAATCTATTGTATTTTTATCAACTTGATATTTATCATGTTGTAACGTTTTTACTGTTAGAATTAATAAACGCCGTTTGGTTCTGCTTTGCTGTCCCTGGCTTTGGCTAGCGGATAGTGGATATTTTTGGAGGGAATGGGTCAATCTGTTCGGTAGCTTTTTGTTTATCTTAGGTCAGAGTCCATCCCTTTTCCAGTAAGCGATGTAGTGATGAGTGCTTGAATATAGTTATGTAAGTCTGAAGACAAATTTTTTTTTAATTTCGGCAGAAATTTAAAATTTTAAAAATAAAATTTATGTTTTTATACACTTTGATGATGCAACCCAGCTGAACATACTTATGTAAAATATGGGTAAAAAGCTTCTCAACTTTATTTAAAGTCAATATTATTTTATAAAAAATTTAGCAAATATTACACTACATGTGTAAATCGTATCATGCTGTAACTGAACTAGTATAATATTACAAGCAGATGTAACTTAGCCGAAAATTAAAAAAATTGAAAAGTGAAGCACTACGACCGACTCAGCTGAGAAAGTATGTTGCACTTTTGAAGTTGTATTTTATGCTTTAGATAACATGTAAAAAAAACCCTGCTTCATACTATGATACGAAGAATCGTCCCCCCTCCATCACTTTAGATCATCGAGGACCGTAAGTGTCCCTTTTTTATTTTTTGTAAATATAGGTTGTAATATATCTTTTTGTTCAGGAAGAAAGGCCGTTAAACAATTTTATTAGTTGATACACCTCAAAGCTCCTATTCTGATTTTCAACCCCTTTGGCTTCCTAGGGGCTCCTTTTCAACTTTTTGATAAATTTTGGTTTGCATATAAAACGGGCCTTAAATATTTTTCCTTCTTTCACCAACTGTGAAAATTGATTTCGGAAACAACCTATTTGTATCAACCAGAGCGCAAATTTCTCTTGTGTACTCTAGTCTTTCACTTGAAATTAACGAAGAATTGAAAAGAATTTCCCTAAAGAATAAAAGCATGCTTTCAAACCAGCAGTTTTTGTGATTACACTATGAGATGGACCTTAGGTACATTTCCATTTTAAGTGAGCTTTCCCTTTGTGTGATCTTATCACACCTCACAAAGGGAAGAAGGCGTGACTCCCGAATGATAAATTAGTTGTCAATCACCTCTTTCATTTTCCTTGCATTCTAGGATTTTGGAAACCACGAAGCAACGGGTGTCTTTTGGGGGCTAACATGCCACATTTAACCCCCACAATTGTGCAAAGTTTTGACCCCAGATGGTAATTTTGAAATCGATGAGTCTTTCTCTTGGGAAAGGGATAAGTGCTGAAATGAAAAATTTAGCTAAACACAGACGAATGAATCTCGAGCTGAGTACACAAAGAATAAACGAAACTAATATACTTGTATTCAGTCCTAGCGCAGGATCAGTAACCTCACCATTCCTCCATTAACATAATATTGAATCTTAAACGACTTAATTAATCATGAAAATTATTACACCATAAACTGTTATAATAATAAAGAAATTCTGTCATGTCACAGAGTAGAAAAGGAGAAGACTGGTGCTGCCATCTATTGGCGCGGTACCCTCAGTGTGGGCGCCGGTATATATTATATACCGGTTTTAAAATCGTATAAATAATCTTCTGTTAATTATCATTTCTGACACAAATGAAGTAAATATATGAGATTCAGCGTGTGTACGTCATATATTTGCAGATTTTTAATTTTTTCTTTCCCTCCAATAGAATTTATCAATCTTCCAACATGATACCTTGCAAAGAGGTATATTAATTTCATAACTGCAAAATATTGAGCATTCATAGGGTTACCATAATATTGAGCTACCATTTAGAATCGAAAGGAAACACTAGACACTTACGATTATAGCTTTTGGTGTAGAAAAATTAGCATTTTTTCGAAGGTTAAAAAATTGAGAAACAACCAGTATATATTATATACCGGTGCCCTTCAAAGAGTTAAAGACCGCATTGAATAGCAGGCGAAAACGATACTGTTCCCTCCGTCAGCTGACCAACTGAGCAACTTTCTTGAAAGCGCTTGCAGGGTAAGGTCATTGACGTTTCCCATACGGGTTCTTCACTCCCCCGAAGTTGACGATTCGTAATGAAAGATCAAGTGTCAAGAAACACCAGCTTTTATATTCTAGTCTTTAGCAGAATTTTGTACATGATGACTGCCCTTATCTAAATTATTCTGGCCCTTTTTTGGCGCAAAATCAGACCTTCTGAGTTTTTACCTTTTCTCAGTGTGAAGGCACTTATTCTTAAAAGCTGTTAAGTGTAAATTCCTAAAAGCTGTAAACGTGGTTCGGCTTATCAAAATTTTTACCGTATTAGAAAATCCCTTCTTTTGATGATGACATTTTACTCTTAATATGATGTGGAGGTAAAGGCGTTTATGCCTATGTACTCCGTAACGCGAATTCTTGCTGTGATTGGTTGGAGGTAAGGGAGGTGCTGCGAGGCGCCGGTCTCGTTGAACGAAGTTCAATAATGTCGGGCTCCTGGGTCAGACCTTATCTCAATAGAATAAATTATTTTACTTTTCGAATTTCGGACATATCATTTAGATGGCGTAAAAGTTGAGATGGTTGGAGTAATTACTTGTAGATCGTGCTACTAGGTAGAGATGATAACAAATCTTGCAAGGGAGTAGAAGGTAGAAGTAAAGTCCATACTATTGCAGAGTGAGACTTGGAGGCGAGACCAGAGCATAACGACAATAATTTTAGAGAGTAGCGATGAGATGTCTTGAAAATCTGGTGTTATTCATCAATAAATTAAATAATAATTTTTTCAAGAAAGCCATCACCAACGCGGAGGTAAATTATTCAGACAATTTTAAGTACGAGCTCCTACAAATTGACATCAATTAAAGGCCCTATGCAACCCACATTTATCGGAATCCCCCATAAATAATCCTAACTTCTGCCTGCCAATTCTGACGTTTCAAAATATGCCTTTTTCATTTACACTGGCCTGGGCCACGTCTGCACAATCTTCCTGCAGTCCCTATCAAGGCATTCCTGCGAACCACTGTATGTTATGTCTTCTCTAACCGGGGTTATTTGAGGTTTCTGTAATAGCAGGATATAATTCCTGCTGAAACAGGCATATCAAAAGTATCAAAGTATCAAAGAGATGTCTTGGCGGAGAGTGCGTAGTTAGGTGAGTGAGCTTCGTCTGCAGAGTCAGGAAACGCAGGTCAGTGATTGGGTTGGAGGAGAAGCATATCTGGGCAAGGTGACCAATAGTGTGCTAGGGGGGGAGGGGCAAGGCTCTTTCCAGTACCATACTAATTTTGAAAGACGGTCTAAAGGATAGGGGTGGAGGGAAAGTTAAATTAGCCTGTTTATCGTTAATTAATTAAATTATGCAATTCAGTACTATGTTAGCTTTAAGGTTGAATTTTGCCTGGTCATTTTGCCTGGTCATTGAATTTTACCTGGTCATATATCATGGTGCCTGATAGGTTGATTTTATACATAGTATTTTTTTTTTTTTTTTTTTTGCTTTTTAATAATATTTTTACATATACGTTTTTTTTATAGAAAGTAATTGTATACACAATTATTTATATTATTGCCTACGTCAGTATTTGAGATAATAGTTAAGGCAAGAACCAGTAGTTATTAATTAAACGATAGAACGGAGGATGGCTTTGGGCCTTTTTCTATTGTCTGCAGAGTTTGTATCACAATGCAAGA